CTACTGCGCATGCGTCACGCATGCGCACGAGGGGCTAGGGGTAATTTCAGACTGGGGGTAATCTCAGACCGTGACACCGGCGAATAGATATCTGATCCCGGGGATGTCAATAAAATTCTTTACAAGATCGGAATACAACAGTACTCGTGGCCATAGCCTCAAATTGTTCACTCCGCGTGCACAACTAGAGTTAAGGAAACATTTTTTCAGTTTTATAGTAATAAATCACTGGAATAACCTGTCAGAAGAAGCAGTACAAGCTAAATCAATTAACTCGTTCAAAAGCCATGTGGATGAATATGTAAGGATGGGGTTTATACAAGACAGTAGTCTTCCTACCCTTCGATCCACTCTAAACCTACAGGTTAGGGGTGGAATCAGGTAAATCAAGTGAATGTCAGGTACCAGATCGAAAAAACCCCACGCATTTCGGCACCTGCACTGCAACAACAACGCATTGAAATTCTCCTTTTTTCCCTGGATGATTCCAATCTGGAACAACCTACCCGTGGGTGTTGTGGAAGCAACGGATGTTGACATTTTTAAGTCGAGGCTTCACTCCCACATGCACGCGAACCCACTTTAAGAGTACACCAGTTGCATTGCACTCACATCATCATTATGCACCTGTTTGTTTATTGGGTTTATCCCTGAAGGCACTTACTACCTTGTCATTATATCCAGTGTAGTGGACACCGACAAGTACGAGAACATAACATAACATAACATACCGGACCGTACCCAGGGTACGTTCCGGCAGTACCCTGGGGGACATATACCCTATGAGCGATATTAATATGTCACTGGGCTAGCTCTAGAACTATAGCCCTTTGCTCCGCCACAGGCTGTGCGGAACGAAGGGCTATAGCCTATAGTTCTAGGGCTATCACTGGGCGGGCGATCGACGTATCAATGTCAGAATGAAATAGCGGAGGATATTACTATGGGTAGAGAAAATTCGAACTGGATGCCTGACAATGGAAATTAGATTTTCCAACACAAGGAATACATAGAAATAATTGTTAAAATGCGCCAAAGGTGTCATTATCAATTGTATTACTATCAGTATCAGGACAGTGGCTGCAATCAGAGAATAATTATTTTTATATGACATGCAGATTTTCCATGGACACTGAAGGCAGAATCTGCACTGAAAGAGATCTTCAAAATGAATGTTTTTCGACCGATGCAACGATCTGCCATTAATTTAACTATGGCCAGTATGTATATTTGTTTCTGCATTCTCTACAACCTTACGCAATAGAGCTGTCTGTCTGGAGTGATTGCCAGGCAGATCTAGTCAATCCATGGCAAGGTTGTCTGACTGCGTTTGCTAGCAAATCCCTTCTTTACTTTCATTAGAGTACCCATGGTTTCTCATACTGGGAGTTGTACTTTTATTTTTCTCACAGCTGTCGAGTTTGTCTAACCGCATTTTCCGGCTCAGCCCTCTTTCTTGCATTATTTTCACGGCTGGTGAATTTTGTCCGACTGCGTTTTCCTGCTTGCTTTTAGAGAAGGACTGCATTCTAGTGATGCCTACAGGAGGAGGGAAGAGTCTGTGCTATCAGCTTCCCGCCGCCATCGATGACGGGGTCACCCTCGTCGTGTCTCCCCTCGTCTCCCTCATGCAGGACCAGCTGTTCGCACTCAGCCAGCTGCCACTAGAGGCCGCCATGCTCTCTGCCTCGAGCTCGCGAAGCGTAGGTGGCGCCCGAGTCTGAAATACGTCGTCGGCGACGGAGTCTAAAAATCGGACACAATATTATATATGTGTGTGTTACGAGTGTATACAGTACAGGGGTAGAAATTAACTTTTGAACACGGGAGTCCAACGGACTCCCTACCCTCAAAACAAGGGAGTCCGCAGCAAAATGAGGGAGTCCGCAGTCTGAGGTTCAAAATTAAAGATATTAACAATAATGCATGTGCTTATTAGCTCACCTTGACATCGTCAAGCTGAGCTATTGCCATGGGTCGTCGTCTGTCGTCCGTCCGTCCGTCCGTCCGACCGAGCGTCCGTCCGTCCGAGCGTCCGTCCGTCCGTCCATCCGTCAACATTTGGCTACGGTCAATGATAACTCAGGAACCGTTTGACCCATATGTTTGAAATTGGGTATAGTTGTTACTGCTATGCTCCCATATTAAACGTCCTATTTTGGAGCACTCCAGTCAGCGTACTTTCGAGCCACAGCAATTTTTCCTAAAAATTGGAATTGCCATTAGTCAGTTCAGGTTCAACGGATTTTGCTCATTTTTGGTATGTGAATGAATAAGGGCTAGGGGTTTTGATATTTAAAAATTATGCAAATTAGGTAGGGTTTGGCAATTTTATAGCATATTATATAGACACTCAGATAACAAACAGTCTGTGGTGTCACACTCGTCTGGTTTGTTTTGCAAGATTTCATTGACAATATCTTTAATGCAAAATTCTTGCTATGAACATGATTTATACTCTTATTATTATATTATTATTATTATGATATAATGATTTATGCTAAGAAACATCAAAGCGGGTATAGCGCCATCTACCGTCACAAATTGTGATTCATTTTTGTTTATAAATTATTTATAATTTATATATAATATTATTGATTATTTTTACATAAAAAATTACACATAATTATCAAAAGTATATAATGGGAGTTCTCCCATATATACTCTTCGTTTCTATAATGTACGTTCATGGTTGCTCAATTAAAACTGACTTCTTCTCACTCACTCATTTGTATCCTTTTTTGTGGTGAGCTACAGTGTCATTGACACTTTTATTTTTAAGATTCATGCAGTTGCACGTCTGCCAAATTTTCTTGGGACATTAGCTGAAAAAATACGGTAATTCCGCGAGGCCGTGCTCCGGAACGAACTAGTCAGTATCGCAGGGAGTCACGGACTCCAGCATATGTCAAATCAGGAAGTCCGACAGTAAATCAGCGAGTATTTGACTCCGGACTCCCGTTAATTTCACACCCTGCAGTAGTAAAGTAATGGTCACCGTTGCTTACCAGCTTCGGTAGCATATATTTTTTGACACACACTGATTGATGGTGATGTGCTTACATAAAGTTGGATGGATTTCCACAGACTTTCTCCATTGCAACCCAACCTCTAAGCTTAACCGTAGTGAATAGCCATAACTCTTACCATAAGCCTAATCCTAACCCGAACAATAAAACTAACCCTAATTCTATTCCTTGAACCATAACCCTACCCCTAACCCATTAAGTTAATAAACCATTAAGGTATAGAATTACTCATTGTATGGAAGGATATGCGTTACCCCATGATCTCTGTAACGCTTCTCTCATTCTCGTCCTTTGACCTTTGACCTCGCCGCAGGAGGTGGCGGCGATCCAGGCGGCCATGTTGGACAATAACTCGGCACTGAAGCTTCTCTACGTCACTCCGGAGAAGATATCTAAGAGCAAGCGCTTCATGGCGCGACTACAGAAGATGTACAAGAAGGGTCGCTTCGCTCGGCTAGCAGTCGACGAGGTTCATTGCTGCTCAAACTGGGGTCACGACTTCCGACCGGGTAAGCTCGCCGAGGACGCTCTCTTGTTGCGGAGCCACCGCTTCCTGAACCGCGCGCCGGTTCTTGTTTTCGCGGGAATTTCACTGAGACGCGTGGGAGTTGTTCAATTTCCTGGCGCGCGTTCGTCGGGCGAGCGGGCGCGCGTGTGTTTTTCGGTATTCGTGGAGTTTACGTGTGAGATGTTCTATTGTCTCCGCGCAGACTACAAGATTCTCGGGATCATGAAGCGGCAATTCCCGGACGTTCCGGTCATGGGTCTGACGGCGACATCGACGGAGAGAGTGACGAAGGACGTGCAGAAGATACTCAGCATTCAGGGCTGTCCTGTGCTCAAGGCTTCCTTCAACCGACCCAACCTGTATTATGAGGTGAATATCCATGCGGACGAGCGTAGGGCAAGGGAGTGGAAGAGGGAGAAGAAGAGAGGGAGAGGGTGAAGGAGAAAGAGCGAGAGTGAGAGAGAGGGACAGAGAGAGTCAGAGAAAGAGGGGGTGGGAGAAAGAAAGAGAGAGATAGGGAGGGTATGAGATAACAAGGAATGTAATTATAATTAATAATAATTATACAAAATTGAAATAATAAACTATTGTACAGTTTATTGATGTTTCATCGTCCGTCTACATCGCAGGTGCGAGCGAAATCATCGAACTTCAAAGAGAGTGTCCAAGATATTGTTCATCTCATCAAAACCAAATACAGGAACCAGACGGGTGAGTAAACAAGTGGAAGAAACATCAAACTAGGCAATCGTAATGATCTGTGTGAGAGCAAATACATTAGCTCTATCTACTAAATGTTTTTAAATAGAAAAGATTGTGTTACATATTACAGTTCCAACATTCAAGACGTCCTGCACTTTAGAAGTTTAAATAAAAGATTTTGACGCTTTCTGCCACAGATGTCAGCACTGTATGAGTTAGGAGATTGCATCAGATTGCATACATGCGCGTCCAGTGTCAGTGGGTCTTTTTGTACGGGTGGCACTCATGTGACTGGAACAGACAAAAACTATATTTACAAACATTCACCTCATCTTTTGCTACCATATGAGAATCCTAATAATTCGTAATATGATTTACATAGACAATGGTTCCATATAGAAAAAAATATAAATACTAAATCTGTTCCAAAGAGCGCACTGTGTTTTTTTCTGATCCTGCCGTAAGGTAGAGAGCATCACCTTATGAAACGCCTGATGTGCATTCATAACTGAATTACTATCAATATCAACGCCTGTAAACTAATAACTGAAGTAACATTAATATGAGCACCTGTTAATTAATAACTGAATTAACATTAATATAAGCACTTGTGAATTAATAACAGAATTAAAATTAATATTAGCACCTGTAAATTAATAACTGAATTAACATTAATATAAGCACTTGTGAATTAATAACAGAATTAAAATTAATATTAGCACCTGTAAATTAATAACTGAATTAACATTAATATAAGCACTTGTGAATTAATAACAGAATTAAAATTAATATTAGCACCTGTAAATTAATAACTGAATTAACATTAATATAAGCACTTGTGAATTAATAACAGAATTAAAATTAATATTAGCACTTGAAATTAAAAACTGAATTAACATTAATATTAGCACCTGTAAATTAATAACTTGATTAATTATATACTGGCGACAGAGATAGTGCCGCGGGTAAAAATGTATTATGTTAACACCTGTTTACGGTTATTTCATCGCCAGGTATCGTTTACGTTTTCACGCGCAAGGAATCGGAAAACGTGAGCCAGCTGATGAAAGCTTCTGGAGTCAGCGCTGCCGGTTATCATTCCGACCTGACAGGTTCTCAGCGAATCAAGGTGCGTGGCGTAGCTAGGATTTTTCAGTGGGGGGGGGCCACTGGGGGGGCCTTACATTTTCGGGTGGTGGCACAATATATAACTTTTCTTTGTATTATACTGTTCTAACGGCATTGTTTTTAATTCAATTTTTTTTTATCAAGCATGACTTTTTAGTGGGGGGGCACGGGGGGGGGGCACAGAAAATTTGTGGGGGGGCTGGTGCCCCCCCCCAGGCCCCCCCGTAGCTACGCCCCTGATCAAGGTGCATGGAGCAGCCTCAGGGCATCTCGTAGTTAGAGGGACCCACAGGGACGTGTCACTGTTACCGTGGCGATGGGGGACTGTGACTGCATTGTTGCCACATTGAAGATGAGCTTTCACACTGCTCTGAAGTTGAACACGATAAATGCTGCAGATATATATCAGGCTCTCCCGTGTATTTGAATCAACGTAGCGTTATCATCGAGTTACTTGGCGTTGTTTGCCATTTTTACCATGCCACGTTCTTTTTTTTATTTCGCGACCGGAGAATTGAACGTGGCTGTTATCATTAACATGGCAAGTACATGTAACACAGTAGAACAATATTCTCTGTCATTATTAGTGTCAATCTAAATCAGTGTTTCATATCGGGCGTCGCTCACATATGCTAGCAACTCTATGCCGAAACTCTATCCTCAAATTCCTCATTGTGTTGACGCATGCACGTGTTTTAACTCTAGGTTAACGTATTTCTATCCTTGTGGGTCGATACCAGAATAAATACCAGTGGCTAAATTTTCAATGTTTAGATAGTGTTAGGTAATGTTTAGAAAATCATGGCACGTAATATAAGCGCAAACGGCAAACACTGAACCAGTACAAAAACTTATGAAGTACATTCCTCCATCTCAGACTCTCTATCGAGATCTCTCACTTATCGCGCCACACCGTCGCCACGGGCTGCGTGCTTGCTTAAATTCCACTTTTCCGGGAGAAATTCATCTTATCAGTGGAGCGATAGATCGGTTACGGGATAACACACGGCTCCATCGCCGCCTCGATCATAGCTCTCGAACTGGCCTCGGAAAATTTAATCATCCGACTTCCGTTCAGCCGCTATCTGCGCATGTCGCGTGAAAAACCAGCGTATCGTATTGCAGTCTATCCTTACATGAGCTTGTTGCCTTCCCCGCGCTTCGACTGTGAGCGACGCAGCAAAAAACACTGTTTTCTCGCCGCTCATTACCGTTGCCGTTGAGCGTGCAATGTGGTTCGAGATATCTATTGATCTCTATTGATCTCTATTGATCTCTATTGATAATTATTTATCTCTAATTAACGGCAGCTGCACCCGCTCTGTCCGATATCATTTGATTAAATGCGTTTGCACACCTTCCCCCTCACTTAACCCCGTTCACACCGCCTTTACCTCGTGTGCCTTCATTCAATTTTTTTGCCGTGTCGCATGAGTCGTTGGTCGGTTATCGATTGTCGCCGTCATCGTCTCTCTCCACGTCATGCGCTTATCCTCCCCCTGCCTCCGCCACCCACGCATCTTCCCCGCCTCCCCCACTTCGTCCCCACCTCCCCTCC